TTGGAAGATTTGGCAGACAAACTCCAGCAAGTGGATCCATGTCCCACATATGGATTGACACTTGTGTGGATACCAAGGAAACAGAGCTGCTGCCAAGCTCATATCCCATGAGCACACAAGAGAGGGGTAAGCGGTGGCTTTGTCTTCATTGCCACAAGAGAAACTCCTTTGGTTTTATATCTTATGGGAGAAAGATGAACTGCCTTGTGGTATGTAGGAAAATTTTTTAATATTACAGTAATATTGAGTAGGAATATCCCACTTAAAATGATGTAAAGATATGTGGTAAAACTCCCTTACACTGTAAAGTAGTGGCTGAAGAATTGCGTTTACATGGACCTTTGTGTTTAATATGTCTACCTCTCCATGTAGCAATGCCCATGGGTCTCGTTGGGAGCTCTGCGCTTAGGCTTGGACCTTGAAGAAAAGCTATCAGGATCAAAACTGGAACGTTCACTAAGCTCTTGAAGGTACTTTCTGATACGATTAAGACTGAAAAGAGCAATAAAAACACTGTGTTCTGCAGAAGCACAGGCTGAACCCTTGGCTGTCAATCCTAAGAAAGTTATGGTTGCTCACAAAACAGATTTTTTAAGTGAAATTAAAAGTACTTTCAGATAAAATTTTTATCCAGTTTGACTTCTTAACATTTATCTTTTTAAGTGTGGGTTTGAGATGTCTTGGGTTAAATGGGCATTTTGACAACATGGCTTCTCCTTTGGCATGTGTAATTGGGATGTTTAACCGACATCCTTGCAGTTTAAGATGACGCTTTTAAAATAAAATTCTCCTAATGATGACTTGAGTCCTGGCACTACAGGAGAATCAGCAGACCCAGTAGGATCTTATTTGGAATTGACATTCTCTATTGTAATTTTGTTCATTTATTTTTAATTTTGTTTTGTGTTCACTGGAAAGGAAAGATGATGCTGAGTTTTAAACATTAAACGTGTACAAGTTGCTTTGTTACAATAAAACTAAATGTGTACACAAAGGGTTTGATGCTTTTCTCTCAGATTGGACATAGTTGATCTGACCTTCCGAGTTTGACTTGTATAATAACGTCTCTGTCAAACTGTCCCGTGACTTCAGATTTTTTGATATGCACTTTGCAGGATGACCTCAGGGCAGTATGGATCGAGAATAAAGGGATTTCAATAAAAAAAATTATCTTTTTAGGGCTTTGAGACATATTGAATAAACTGTAGTCTCAAAACATGTGACCTACAATCATATGCTGTAACCTGATCAGAACTGCTGTGGCCCTTTAGCATAGGCTGTATATGAAGTTAGGAATCTGGGTTGGGAGACACTGTTTTGTGAGTTTCATTATGTTTAATGCTGAGATTTACCTTGAAATTTTATTTCTCCTCAATGATTAGTACTATAAAACCAATGTGTAAGAGTGACTTCCTTAGAAATCTCTAAGAGTGACTGAAATTCATCCATTCAGTTATACTGCCCAGTGTAGCATCATAGCTCATCAGATTCAGAGACCCTGGGCAGTGGAGAAGGAGTAGAAAAAGACCTTTCCTGTATTGTGTACCTTTTGTATATTGAATTGCTCAGTTACGGTCCTCTTTCAGCTTTAGATACATGCTCTGCCATATTTCACACTCACCGTGTGCAGAGCTTGGGAACCTTGGGAAGTGCCAGATTGCTACTGTCAGCCAGACTTGCCAAGTCAAAAAGGCCCCAAAGTGCCTTTCTGGTTGTTTTGCATCTGTGGGGTCACATGACAGAGGGACCAACTTCACTGCTGTGCACATAGCATAGCCCTTTCTTGCCTCCTAAAAAGTCCCTTGTAGTCCACAGGCACCACTTCAATTGTGTAAGCCCTACACCCGAGAGAGAAGGCCAGCATTGAAGAGAACCGTGCCTCCAAAGCACACAGAGGAGCGGAAGATTTTGTGTGGTTCCAATGTTCTTATAATTTGGAATGTGGCCTTCTAAAGTAGATTTTAAATACCTGATTTCTGCTCCAGGCTCTCTGCTATAACCGCCCTCCCCCCTCCAACACTTCTCTCCACACCCATTTTTGCTGAAAGATTGTGTGAAACATGCATTGAAATGCTGGCAGTGATATGTGTTGGCTTAGAGTCGCCAGCAACTGCACTCAGGAGCCAAATTCAGGAGTGAAATTGCCACTTCTAGTCTCTTATTTCCTATGGAAATGATGATGCCCTCCACCCTTGAACCTGCCATCTGTCCTGGAAAGCTACACCAGGACTGCTGAACACTTTGCACTTTGATTCATTGGTACATTGTTGCTACAATGAGCATCATTTCTGCTTTGCTAGCAACCATACTATTATCTTTAGCTGCAGTCAACACACCTGCTGTGGACTGTGTTCAAGGTCATACCACAAAGGGTCAATTGTGATAGGCTTCCCTTGGAAGAGTTGTCACTTTCACTGCCAATTTTTATGATGTTTTATAATCTTTCACAAAGTCTACAAATCAAGCAGGAATTACATAATCTGCTCAATGCTTTCCCAAGGAGTTACTATCCAGTACAAATCATGTCCCCACCCACCCCTCTAAAAAGCTAGGTTTCCTGCTCTGTTCCCATTCCTTGTGTCTTGGGTTGCTCACATGAGGCCTCTCCCTAGTGTTATTCGATATTTCTCCTTTCCTGCAGGCTAGGCGCTTCCTTCTGAATCATGGAGACCAACTCTCTGTAGGAAGCTGTTCAGGCACAGGTATGATTCCTGCTGGTTTGGGGTAGGTCCTGGGCCTTCATGAAAGGGGCAAGTGGAGGTGATGGTGGAACTGGAGATCCCAATCTCATATTGGAGCCTTTAACATCCCTTGACTAGGGAGCATTTCCCACATGGGACACTGAATTGTCAGAAGACTGGTTGGCAGGAGTTTTGCCTTTGCTGAAATCCCATCATTTTTACACTGCCTGAGCAGAGGCAGACATTGCCTAAAAGAGTGACACTCGCCAATATTAGCTGGGGACAGGAGTTCCCACAGTGAATGGGATAACTAGCTTCGTAAAATGGACAGAGACACCATGTGCTGCATGAATTCTATATGGAGGCCTGGCATAGCGGTATTCTTCTAAACTGGATGGAACTCACTGCCCAATCATGACTCAAATGCTGCCTGAAATTAGTAGAATGAGTTTCACCAGGGGACCCTGGCAGAAGAGTAGATAATAATAGGGACTGTATTTACCCAGCCTCTCCCAAACTCTTGTCACCTGGAGTCTCCTTAAACCCAGAAACTTTTCTTTCCCCTAACTGGAAAGCTCTTAATTCATAGGGCTCTAGAGGTGCTGCAGAAACCTGAATGAGAGTGCCACTTACTGCCAGGAGAGATCACTGCAGGCTGAAATAGAAAACATCCTGGGAAAGAGGTTTATCATGCTTAGTCCTTGTTCTTCTCTGGGGTCTTGTGGACCTGGCAGACACCATACCACCATTGGCAGGGGACTTGTGCTGCAGTGTGACACCAACAGTAACTCTGTGGCAGCAGGATAGTTGGAAAGCTACTCACATTCCAGGCTTGGTTTCAAGTCAAGAACCTTGACTCCTTAGAAGCATCTGCAGGTTTGTGAACAGGGGGTTCCATGAACATTCCCTGTGCTAGGCCCAATCCTCTTGACAGGGGCCTGGGATGGGAAATGGCTTGGAAACTTTGGTTCAGTGGTAGAGCAGATCCTAGGATGAGGCACCACATTGTGTGTAGGTCTTGGGGTGGGTACAGATCCACATTCACCACATTAATATAAAATGAGTACCCAGAGGGACTTCCTAGTCTCTCTACCAGTCCCAGCTGAGCCAAGCACTCTCCTTCTCAGTCAAATACAACTAAAAATAAAAATGGTGGCAAAATCTGTAATAAATATCAAGTCACAAAAGCAAAACAAGTCAGACAATCAGCTTGCCTTAAAAAGGCCACAGAAAACTGAGTGCCAATGGCTCATGCCTCTAACCCTAGATACTCAAGGGGCTGAGATCTGAGGACCTCAGTTCCAATCCAGGCACGAAAGTCTGACTTATCTCAAAAAGCTGGAAGTAAAACTGTGGTTCGAGGGGTAGGATTCTAGTCTTGAGCCAAAAAAGCTCAGTAACAGTGCTCAGGTACTGAGTTCAAGCCCCAGAATGACACACAAAGGCAACTGAGAACCAAAGGATAGACCAGTGATACTTTATTTGGATATTTATTCACGTGTGGGAAGCCAATCCTCACACATGCCACCTGCACCCCTCACATGTCCACCCAGCCCCCGTGAGGGACACCACCATAAGAATAGGCCCATTGCCACCACCACCCCTCCACCCCGCAACACAGGTAGCAGCCCTAGAGCAAGCAGGCGATGCTCTAGCTGCCTTCATACACTGTTTCCTGCAGCAATAAGTTGCCCAACCTGCAACCTCCCCTTATATCACCTCACTGTGCTTGGCAGGCCCTCTTCCCTCGGGCCCTGTTTCTTGCTCTATAAAGTAAGGTTGCTAGTTTATGTGTTATAGGACAGAAGGGAGGGTGGAAGAACTAGGGATGGAGGCGTATTCTGGCGCTCTCTGATCCCAGTCAGGGACATAGCTAGAGGTGGAACAGAGTGAGGATAGCAAAGAGAAAGTGAGGCATGGCCCTATGGTCATTTGAGATATTCTTGTCCTAGTTGGGGCTGCTTCTCTCAATCAGTAAGTCCAAAGAAGTTTCTATAAAGTGAGAAGACCATGAGGGTCCCCAACACCGGTCACCCTCATTTGTTCCTGCTAACACTGGCTCTTCTTAGTCCAAGGGCCTCCCCCAGGCTGGAGCCAAATGTATGTGAAAGGTGATTTTGTCACTAGCCTTCTAGCTGGGCTGCCAGGAGCCCCTCTTGCTGTTAAATCTACCCCCTCCTTGCTCCTAATGGGGAGGATTCCTGTACTTCTCCCAGGGAGGGGCACCCAAGATGAGACCAAGTTCTCTCAGGCCACATATACCCCCAACAACCCTGCCCTGATCAATACCACCCAGCAGGTTGAGGTCTTTCATTCACTCTATGGCTGGCCTGAGAGGTGGATGCGGCAGCAGATGGCGGTGACTATTATGAACTCCTCAGTGGTCCTCCCTATTTCGTCAGTGTTCTGGTGCTTCACCACACAAGTGTTGTCCAGAGGGAAAGCTCCCAGTGTTAGTGAGTTCTCAGGATGGGCATTGCAGCTGGTCAGGGTCCATCCTGCGTCACAGCTCACAGTGACCTGCCAGAGTCCAGAGAGGACAACTAAGCCTAAGTCGACCATGTATGGTCAGGTTTCTAAGCCATCTGCTATACTGTCCCTCCCAGCAACCCTCAGTGGGGACCAAAATGTCAACGCCTGGCTTGGTTCTGCCCCTCACACCCCAAAGGGGCTGTGTCCAACACTGCCCACCACTCCCTCAGGGTGCTTCAGCCCCAGCCTACCAGGACACTGGGGTCCAGACAGACATCTCAACAAACCAAAGCCCCTCCCACTTCCCACTTCCCTACAAGCCACACCTCCCACAGCCTTCCCCACCCAGTGATGGCAACTCCATCCTCCCAGCAGCTCCACAAGACCTTGCAACAGCCCTCCACTCCTTGTTGCAGCTCATCCCAGACCAGAGCCACCACCCTCAGGTCCCAAACTCCTCCTGCCATGGCCTCTAGAGGCTAGCTCTCAGACTCCAAGAGGCCAAGTGTGACCTGCCCTCCCTTCAGAGATCTTCCTTCTTCCTCTAACCTTCCATGGTTGCTCAGGCATTTCTAACCCTGAACAACTCCCAGTAGGTTTGTGAAATGCAGAAGTGATGCTTTGGTTTTTTTGTGCTTCTTTTGTTTTTTTGTTGTGCACGCACACCAACCCTGGCATTTAAACTCCAGAGCTGAACCCAGCTCCAGATCTGGCTTTTTGGGGGGGCAGTTAATTAAGGGCATAAGTTTCATAATCTCTCTTGCCAAGGTTGGCTTTCAACCGCAATCCTCAGATCTCAGTCTCCAGAATAGTTATGAATACAGGTGCTTTAAAAAAAAACAAGCAGTACTGGGGTTTGAACTCATGAGTGCCAAGCAGGTTCTCTACCACTTTAGTCATGATTTGGCTGCTTTTGCTTTAATAATTTTTCAGATAGAATCTCTTTTTTATTTTTATTTTTTATTTCATTTTATTTTTTGCCCAGGTGGGCCTCAAACTGAACTCTTATTTGTTCCTTCTCAGGAGCAGGTGAAACAGGCACAGCATTGTATTACTGTGTCCAGACTCAGCAATTCATTTCTTTATGCCATATTTATTTGTGCTATCCTTAAAGGGGGACAGGGCATTGGAGAGCAAACCTTACTAATCTGGCCAGAAACAAAAGCAAGCCCAGCACACTCACACTGACACTCATACAAACACATGAGCTAGTACATGCCCACACACACACACACACACACACACACAGACACACACACACACACACTGCACATGACAGCACAGGTGCTCTGGTCCTCCCCTGGGCAATGCAGGCCCCAGCCATCTCCAACCCCCCCCCCCAACCCCAACCTTTCACCTTCTCCAAGGGACTGGAACGCCTGTACTTCTTCGTTGTACACTGCAGGCCCGGAGCACGGCAGCAGAAAGCATGGACACTGGCCTTCTTGTGCCCCAGGCACTTTCTGGGCTGATGACCTTGCTGCCTTGAAGTATGCTGGTAGACACCAGGGTCATCTATCCCCCAATGGGAGCTGCATCCTAGGGCAGAGGAGGGACAGCTCACACACTGAATGTGGAAGACTATCGTGGTTCTCTTTCACACCCCTTTCTCTATAAGGTTTAAAGCCAAGGAAACCCAGGAGCAGCTCTGAGGGGAAGAGACATTGGCCTGAGCAGGAGGACTTCCAGCATAGCTCTGCTGGTGATCTGACTTGTAGAACTTTGGGAGAGAAGCTCAAGCGCTCTGATCCATAGTTTCCATGATCTCCTCTCCACCAAAGAAGTGGAGCCATGGGGCATGGTTCCCAGGCCTGCGATGATCAACCACTGCTTACCCAAACCCCTCCCACCTCAAGTCCTTTCCTCATGCATCATCACCAAGAGCAGTCCGGCATAAGCCTAGGTCTGTGACCTAGGGAATCAGGTGCACCAGGCTGTAAAATTGTGGGCACTTTGCTGAACTTCATCAAGTCTCAGTTTCCCTATTTGTAAAACAGCTAGAGCAGTAGCAGCAACTCACAGAGATACTGCTTAGCTAAAGCAGAAACATGCATGGGAAGTCCCAGTACTGCCCATGCAGGACCTAGGATCTGGTAGGTAACCAGGACCAGAGCCCTTCTCCCAGCTCTGTGTCTTTAGGAAAGACACTCGGCAACTTGTCCTGCATATGGGACTTGGCATGAGCTACACAGTGAGTACCTGTGGCTCTGCCAGCTTTGCCACAGACCAGGCTTCCTGCCAGGCCAGCAGCCACATAGAGCTCTTGTCCCAGACAAGGCTCTAGCCACTTGGTTCATCTGACTGCTGCTAATCCAGACAACTTCTAACCCCACCTAACCCTTACTATTCCAGAACTTCAGACTCCCTAGTAATTACCTGGCCAAGGTCAGCTCCTGACCTAGTGATTCAAGATAATTCCCACTGTCCCCTAAACCTCCCCGCTGGCACCAAGCTCCTTCTAAGAATGGCTCCAGCCCAAGAAAACAGTCCCTAGCTCCTATGTGCAGCCCTCACCCATGACTTCCATACACTTTGGGGCAGCTTTGTAATAGAAAGTTTCTAGCCCAGGGCTGGTGGTGGCTCAGTGGTAGAGCGTTTGCCTTGCATGCCTGAGGTCCTGGGTTCGATTCCACAGAACCACATAAGCAGGAAAAAAATAGCTGAAAGTGGCGCTGTGGCTCAAGTGGTAGAGCGCTAGCCTTGAGCTGAAGAGCTGAGGGACAGCATCCATGCCCAGAGTTCAGGCCCCACAACTGGACCCCTTCCCAAAAAAAGAAAGTCCCTAGCCCAGAGAAAGGACTTCAGAGTGATGGTCAGTGACAGTGGCCACCAGAATGCAACTGTCCAGGATTAGATCTGAGCATTCACAATGAGGGAAAACTAAGGCACAGGGCTGAGAAGGAACTTGCTAGTTACTGATTGGATCAACCTGAGCTGTGCCCCACTCTGACAGGCCTGAACTAGGGTACCCTACCAACACAGAGGGTAAACAGCTCCCAGTGCCCAAGCCAGAGGACATTTGTAACCCTCTAATCACCACTACAGAGGCAGGAGAGGAAGACAGAGGTGAAGCCACTTGCCCAAGGCCACATAGCATGCAAGTTGCAGATCCTGTTTGGCTGTGGGTCCTGAGGCTCCCATATCATCTGCTCAAACTCATAGGGACCAAGTGTATGGGACATGTCTCCTGAGCAGCAGGAGGTAGGTCATCTTCCTCACCCAGGCGGGACCAGCCCCTACCTGTAAGGACTTGGTCAGGATCCGGGCAGTGGGTGTAGGTCTTCAACCCCACCAAGGCTGGAGGAGCTGTGTAGACTCTGCAGTTGGCTCGGGGGAGCAGGCAGCATCTGGCCACTGCAGAAACCTGGCTATCTCCAAATGCCAGGCAAACGCGTCTCTTTCCTAGGATCTGAGAATCCAAGAGAGAAATGGGAACTTGCTGTGAAGAGGTTTAGGGACTGAGGAACCTTGTCTGAGAGGGACCCTGTCTGCAAGTTCTGGCTCCTGAATCCTCAGCACTGCTTGGTCCCATGCAGTCTGTCCTGCCATGTGCAGTTCAGATGAATCTTCCCAACACTGACAATGCCTTGTAACTGGAGATAAGGGTACCAGATACAGCAGCACAGGGCCTACGGGCCCCCTGACCCATCGGGCCTCTCCTAAGAAACCTCCCTAACATTGATTTCTGCACAGAAATGCTCACCTACCATATCCTCTAAGCCCCCTTCCCTTGACAGGCCCACCCAGGGTATGGGAACCTCATCAGCTGCTTCTGCACCTTTGAAATTCTCACTCACAGAGCCTCTGTCATCCCAACCTGAGGGTCATGACTGTGGAATCTCTTGGTTGCCAGGGAGAAGGAAAGGATGTGTCAGTACTGGGACTTGAACTCAAGGCCTAGGTGCTGTCCCTCAGCTTTATCATTCAAGCCTGGCACTCTACCAACAGAGCTACAACTCCCCTTCACGCGTACTTGGAGATAAGAACTACATGAAATTGCCTGGGCTGGCTTTCGCACCACAATCCTCAGATCTAAGCCTCCTGAGTCATTAGAACAACAGGCATGAGACAAAAACACCCAGCATAGAGATGGCTTTAGGCAAGGCAGAGAGCCAAAGCAACCACTGTCCTTTCCCTCCTGTCCCATGAGGGGGCTGTCTGTCCGGGTCCCCCAGGAGCACCTGGCCCTGCCCAGGCCTTTGAAGTCAAGACACGGATTGGAATCCAGAAGACTGGGCACACAGAGTGTGCAGCTCACCCCCACACGCTCGCCCTGCCGCATCCCACTCTGGGAGAAACTGGAGCAGCCCAGCAGCTCCTCCTCCGGGTCACACTCAGACACAGCACGGTCTGCCAGTGTGATGTTCCAGGGTGCTGACCACACAGTCCTGCAGAACAGCTGTTCACCTGCAACAAGGTCATGAGTAATGAGGGAGGCTCTTGGAGCACAGGACACCCAGAGAATCCAGAGAAAGTTTCAGTCTTACATAAGGGAGAGGAGTTTCCATATCACATGAAACTTTTAGTTAAAACTTCAGTGTTGAAATAATTACCCTGAGCCTGGAGTCCTATCTGAGGAGGACAGTCCTTCTGTAGACCAGGTAGGGGACTGTCACCTCCACATGGGCCTCTCACACCCAGGCTGGTCTCTTCCTACCCACCTGCCATGCTCACCTGTTTCCTGGGTGCGGGGGGGCAGTGCAGCCAACAGGTTGGGGGTCTTGAATCGCTCCTCCTCGGGGAACCAGGTGTCATTGATAGCATTTCTGATAGAGTAATGGATCAGCCTCTGCCTCAGCTCAGCCACAGTGAGGTTTGGCTGGGCAGTGAGCAACAGGGCTGCAATGCCTGATGGAGGAAGGAAAAAATCAGACAAGGTGATAGCCTGGCCTTCCATCCTAGCTGGGAACTCCTTTTAGGACACAAATGCACACATATACACACATCATGTGCTCTTCCCAAAATGAAGCCACCTGCAATCCCTTGCTTAGTGAAAGATAGAAAGTAACACATCTTGTTCTCCTATCTCTAGGCCTTGGTATTGGCCATTGTGTTCACCAGGTGAACACCAATTTATACCCCAGTGATGCAAAATGGCACCATCTCCATCAGGTCTGCACATTGGGTTCTCTTGCTCATAGCCAGGCATATGGAGGATCTGGCCAAAGGGGCCGCTGGAGTCCTGGTGGCCCAGGCAGTGGCATGGTGACTCACCAGCCACATGGGCAGCTGCCTGCAAAGTTCCACTCTGCGTTACATAGCAAGCATTACAGTCTTTGGAGGCACTGACAATGCTTTTCCCAGGAGCAAAGATGTCCACACAGGATCCATAGTTGGTCCCCAGAGTACCCTGGATGAGTGGCTGGATCTGATAATCCACAGCTCCAACAGTGATGACCTGGAATGTGGCAAAGAGTTGAGGGAAAGGCTGCATGAGGCAGACTGATCAACTCCTATACTTCCTGTTTGACTCCCATGTAAGTGTCTTCTCGAGACCAAAATCTCCTGGGCACAGCTGATACCTTAGCCTGTCCCAGGCCTTCTACAGGATGCAGGCACTACTCTTGATGCCCTGTAGAGATTGTACATAATGGGAGAAAAACACTAAATTGACAATGTTTTATCAAGAAGCCAGAGTGCTGTGAGGCAACCCACAGTGAGCCAGGCTGGATACAGGCGGTTTTGAGTTCAGCATCTCTGGAACAACCCCCGGAGCTATAGTCTGAAGGTTTATGCAGGGCAAGGAGGGAGAGGGAAAAGGGAAGGCAGCACTGCCCATTTGCCTCTGTACCTTCCCTTTCTTCCAGGGCCCAGAAGGCCTGGAGATGGGACACCTGTCCTCTCCCTGATACTGCCAGGCCCACACAAGCCCCACACAAAGCAGTGGCTCTGCAAATGTCAATCAGGCACAGAGGATGAGATGGAGGCGGTAATGTGGCAGGGCCTTTGAAGGTGACGCAGGGCTAGCCAAACCCTTTGTCACACTGGGGTTTGGGGAGCCTGACCCTCTGACAACCTGCAAGGCAGGACATGAGCTGGAAGCCCTACTGGCACCTACCTCAGGAGACGATGCTGGAGAGTAGGAACAGGCATTGCTCTGAAAGTTGCCCGCAGCGGCCACCAGCACTGCTCCAGCCCTTGCCAGGAGCTTGCAGGCATTGTTGATGCTCTGGCTGTACCCACTCACCAGGGGCAGCAGCACTACCATGCGCTTGGAGGGATTGGAGACCAGCTTTTTCCAAAGAAACTCCAAGCCTGAGAAACATAGATGACTGAGAACAAGATGAATGCCTGGAGAGGGGCATGTTGCCCTCCTCCAGCTCCTTCCCTCCAAATCAACAGTGATGTTCATTATTTGACCCAACATAGATCAATGCACCTGGCCAAAGGAGCTGCTGGGGTCTGCCACTCACCCATGAGGATGCCGCTGACCGTGCCCTTCCCTTGGCAGTTGAGCACACGCAGGCTGTGTATCTTGATGTCCTTGGCCACGCCAACATTCTGGCCATTGACCAGGGCTGCCAGGTGGGTGCCATGGCCTTCACAATTGCCCTCCTGCTCCACGAACACAAGGACCAGATGAGAAAGCCACCCGCCCCATGATTTCCCCAAGCCCCCGGATAGACTGGCAATGCCTGCCCTCCCTTGCCTACAACTGAGGACTGGGGATGGACAGTGGTGGCTGGGGAGGGTGGCCATGGTGCTCCAGGTCTGGTGGTCCTCATCTTCCTCTAGGATGGGCTGGGGAAGGATGTCTCACCTGTGTCCTGGGCGCACTGGTGCTCTGCCACTCCTCCTCAGGCACTCTCTCAAAGTTAGAGATGTTGATCCTGCCCTTAATTTCCATGTGATTAGGCTGGATGCTAGTGCCCAAGAGATACACCTCCACGGGGTTGTCTTCCCATGGTGACATTTGTGCAAGAAGAGAAAAGGAAGAACCAAGAGCGCCATGTTATAGGACACTCAATGATGGCATGCTCTGCTTCTCAATTGTGCAGTCTTTCATCTAAAAATCCTCCCAAGGCACTCCCAGTGGGTCTTTGTTACTGACAAGGCCAGTGAGACTTAGAGACAGGGAGCTGTCCGAAGCCATGTAGATGGCCAATGAGAGAGAGTCAGGAAACTCCACAATAGTATGCTGCCAGTTAATGGGTCTTGTTATCAACTCAAATGGCCCAGCTCCACCTTGAGCTCTGTCATTGCCTGGGAGCAACCCAGGAGGCAGGGCCTCAGTAACCTGCTCCTACTACTGGTTCCCTTGAGGCAGAATTACAGCAGCACACTTTCTATTGTTGCCTAAGCAGAACTGCAGTTCTGGAGATCTGAAATTCAAGATCGAGAGATCAGCCATGCTGCACTCCCCCTGATGATTCTGGATAGGAAGTTTCACTCGCCTTGTGCACCTCCTTCTGGTGGCTGCTGGCATTTCTTGGCTTGTGGCCTCCTCACCCCAAGTTCTGCCCATCTCCTCCTATTGCCTTTCTTTTACAAAGTTTGGGTTTGAGGATAACGAACAGCTGTGCTGTGTGGCCTCTATGACTAAAGGGACAGGGCAGGGCCTGCCCAGCCGTCTTTATCCCCATCCATACGGGACCTGCTTTACCCTGTCCCAGTCCAACAACTCCTAAAGGGTCTCCTCCAGCAAGCCCTTGAGAAGATTCTAGAAAGGGCTCCCTAGCCTTGTCTCCATTCCTCCAGGAAGGGACAAGGACATCATGGGCATCACCAGGGAGCAGGAAATGGACTGTGTCTACTCCAAACCTTCAGGAGAGCTAGTCACTAGTACCATAGAAAAGACACACCATGTCCTTTTAGACCTATCTATCTGGAGGCTAGAGGTGTGACTTAAGTCGTAACCTAGCAAATGTGAGGTCCTGGATTCAAATGACAGCACCACCACCAGACCTTATCTGAAAAAGAGGTCTTTCTAGGTGATCTCATGCAGGATGACCAAGTAGCACTAAATCCAGTGCAGAGTGGCCTCACACAAGAATGAAGAGGAAGGCTGGGCACCGTGTCTCACTTCTGTAATCCCTGCTATTTGTGTGTCAGGGAATGGGTAGATCAAAGCCTGCCCAGGCAAAAAGTTCACAAGACCACATCGCAACCAAAGCTAGGTACAGTAGCACAAGCCTGTCATCCCAGCTACTCAGTCACCATAACAAGGAGGATTGTGGTCTAGGTTCTGGCATAAATATGAGAACTTATCTAAACAGTAACTAATGTATACATGTCTTGAGTGGTAGAGAACCTGCCTAGCAAGCATGAGGCCCTGAGTGCAAAGCCCAAGACGCTAAAGGAGAAACAGAACATATCTTGCTACTCAGAAAGGAGAGATGTAGAGCATTAATGGTTCCAAGCCAACCTAGGCAGCAAAGTGCTCTAGATTCCATCTCCAATTTACTAGTAAAACACCAGGCTAGAGATGTGGCTCAAGTGGCAGTGTACCAGGGTGAACAAGTAAGCTAACCACATGGGTAGCCCTGAGTTCAAGCCCCATACCACTCATCAAATAAATAGCATAAGCCAATGAAGAGAAAGAGAAACTGAAATAAAAAATGGTGAGAGGAGAAAGCAAGACACCAAAAAAGGTGGGAAGCTGGGGCAGAGCCAAATGACAGCCCGCCAACATCACCCACCTTCCAGTCCTGAAGACACTGCCTCTGCTTCCCCTTAGCCTCTAAACAGTGGGGAGGACAAGGCTGATCACGGCCTGTTCACAGCTAAGGGAAAGGCCTAGAAAGGGAGGTGGCTCCTCAGACTCTGAGATCCATGGATAAGGAGAAGGCGTTAGGCTCACCCCCAGACCTGAGGCCCAGCACCAAACCAAACCAGTTCTGCACAGGCTCATCCAACACTACAGGGTCCAGTCAGAACCTCCGATCCTCTCCCAAGAACCTCCGATCCTCTCCCAAGCAGGTGCCCTTACTGCCTTCCCCAGCTCAGGGTCACTGAGACACCCCCGTCCCCTACACACTGCAATTTTCTGGCCCCCTCCTGAGAGGCCTGGAGGCCTGGAGACAGGGACCTAGTTGAGGGAAGCTCTGGAGATCTGGTTTTGTTTTGAGGACTGAGAGTTATATAGACCAGAGACTGAGTCGCAGTCAAGTTCAGTTTCCTCTTAAGGCAAGTATGGCCTGATAGTGAGAAGAGGAGGAAAAGAAGATGGTTATTCAGGCACTTGTGGCTCAAGCTTGGAATACTAGCTACTCAGGAAGCTGGGATCTGAGGGTGGCTGTTCAAAACCCAGCCTGGACAGGAAACTGTGAGGTCATTATCTCTAATTAATCATCCAAAAGCTGGAAGTAGAGCTTTGACTCAAGTGGTAGAGCACCGTATTTGAGCAGAAAAACTAAGGGAGGGTACCCACGCCCTGAATTCAAGGCCCCAACTTTGAAAAAAAAAAAAAAGAAACGTGGACCTTAGGCAAATGTCCCATTATTGTGCAGAGAACAGCAGGAGGGGGCACAATAAAGGTGGGGTTAGGAGAGAACAGAGAGAAGATGGGTCAGGTGAGGTCCCAGGACAGAGAGGAGAGGTGGGCCATGGCAGCTGTGGTCTTACTGCTGTGGTTGAAGCTTCGCAACTGGTTCCACTCAGGGGAAATCCACTGCATGTTCCAAAGGGTGCTCGGAACCAGATTCCACTGAGGGGAAATCAGATGTGGGCTCAATAGGAGGCTCTGTGCAAACGCAAAGGTATCCTCCTCAATGAACTTCGCCTGCTTCAGCCTCAGAACCTGCAGACACCAAGGACACAGGATCTCAATTTCATGAGTCACTTAGCCAGCAGCACCCAGCACTTGGCGCATCTGATCTCTCCAGTTCCCACGGTAACCAAAAGGCCTCCTCCATGGACCAGAAGACAAAGGGTCCTCACTCCTCTAGTAGGCTTGGGAGTGGGAGGAGCTGGAACCAGTGGCCCCACAACTGGTAGCAGAGCTCATGTGAGGGGCAGGAGGGATTCAGCTTCCACATCTCATCTGGGAGCCAGGCACTGCCAGTTCTAGGCAGGCTGGACAGTGGGGGAAGTCCTTGGGGTCTGGATTCCATGTCCATATCAGGCCATCCTGTGAGTCCACTCTTTCCCCACATCTTTCCTGTCTTCACAACATAGTGCTTTGAACCCTGGTGGTGGCATCTGGGTGCTGAGCCAATGGGGCAGGAGAAGGGACCAGCAGGAATTGAGGGCACAGTGTGTGTGCTCAGACCCATCCCTGGAGCATACCTCACACGTGCATCATCCTGAGCCAACTTGACCCTTCTCTCACCTCAGCTGTGCACCCAGGCTGCAATGCACCAACCCAAGGAAACTGGCCTGGTGCACCAGAAGCTGGGAACCCAGCTCCCCCCATGTACACGGGGATCCTTCCTGCTTCAATTGAGGGTGAATAGACAAAGTTCCATAGGGGAGTTGGCCAGACTAACAAGGAAACTGCCTGAGGAGGCTGGCATCACTAGCATCATTGAGCTACAGACCCTCAGTACTCAGTAAGTGTCTGCTGTCCCCTGAGTGTGTCAACCAAGGGATGCGAACAGGCCTAGGCATGTGCATGCTTGAGCTGAGGCTCACCAGGTCCCGTGGGCCCAAGTTGTCCGACTTCATCAGAATGCCAGGAAAGAGGTCTTTGAAGACGTGTAGCACTTCGAACATGAGGCCCTGGCTGGCAGCCTGGCTCTGCAGGCGGTGGGCAATACTCTCCATCTGCTGCCTTTGGGATTCCTTGAATACTACCAGGTAGGTATTGGGCACCTTCCAGACACTCTGGCCCCAAGGGAGGAAAAGGAACATGAGGACATCAAAGGAAAGACCCCTTCCCTGTGTACAAATCAACCTAGAGCCGAAGAGACCCAGGACATAAAGAGACTACAGATACCAGCTGACTCAGTGAGGCTTAAACCTCTCCCCAACACACACAAAGCCCCACTGACATCACCCACAACAGATCCACACACATCCAAACATGGCGTCCATCCCCAAAGGAACTGTGGGTGACCCTCAGCACTCATGTGAGTGCACATTGAGCCGGCTCCACACTGGCCATTCCTCAGATCCTGTCTTGAGACTCAGCTGTGAACTGCCAGAACTCCATGGAGCACTGGCCATCCTAACTCCCCACTTTGGTGCCTTCAGTCCCAGGACCATACCAAGTCAGTGGGCAAATGAGCAAATGCTCTCAGAGATTTCACTCCAGACCTTCCCTTACACTGAAGCTGGGGAAGACATGGCATCCACATGGCTCCTCACCCCCAGCCTGCCCGCACCTCAGAGCGCCGGTATATGATGGTTGAGGGCCAGCCGTGGATCTCCCAAGGTCGGGCGAGCTTCAGCCCCTCTCTGGGTCTGTCCAGCTGCTCTTGGTCTCCAGACTCATCCAGGTCCTTTTGGGCTTCAACCATCACCGGGCTCAGCAGCAGCAGCAGCAAGGGCAGCAGGGGCCACTGTGGCCACCCACAGCCATGGGTGCCCATGGGGCAGGAAGAGAGATTTGCACCCTGGTGCTGACACCCAGAACCAGGACCAGCCAGGAACAAGCACAGAGCCAGGCAGGACAGCTGGGCTGTCTGGCTCACTAAGTAGCAGCTGCCTGAAGCCAGGTGCCTCCAAGTATCAGGAAACCTAGGGTGCAGAGTGTTGAACACCTGGAACCCGGGTCAATTCCATCTGATTATATACTAATAGAGCCCACCCCCTCCACACAACCCCACAGGCTGAACAGGAGGGAGTCTACATGTCGGAGTTCAGCAGTTCTGACATGGGATGACCAGCGGTCAGGGAACCGCCCCCGCCCTGTCCGTGTTCATTGGCACCTTTTTCAGAACGTGTCTGCTCTTCTGAAGCATCTAGCCCTGCCTGAGGGGCACACTGAACTGGGGTCATCTCCCCGTTTCACAGATAGAGAAATTGAGGACCAGAAATACCGTATCAACATCACAAGGCTAGAGGCAAAGTAGATCTGATTTTTCCAGCTGTTCCTTGGGAGCCCAAAGGGGCAGTGAGGTAAAGGTTGTATCTTGTCCCCAGAAGCCCCAGGGTCTTCCTTGGGCCAAGGGAGCTGGAAGAATACTGAGGCGGTACTGTGGCTCAGTGTATGAGTCCCCAGGTTTAATAAGGGCTGGCAAATAGGAAAAGCTCCCTGCCTGCACATCTAACTCTCAGAGAACTGTCAGAGTCACCTTCATGTGACCAGCACCTAGCCAGAGCTTGGTAGGTACCTGAATTACTGATTAGGTTAGTGATGGAATTGTGTGACCAGCACTGTTCTGCATGCTGGGTTACAACAGTGAAGGTGATGGGCAGACACAGAGTGGAGATGGTGTCATCTGGACACCAGTGCTAAGGGAGGGGACGCGCATTGTGGGCAGGGAAGGAAGAGCTGGGCTTGGATGCAGGGCAGGGTGAAAAGCTCCTTTGAGGGAGGGAGCTTAGGAAATGGGCTGTGAGGACAATGTAGTGTGGCTCCCAGGGGCAGGGCTGCCCAGCAGGAAGGCAGTAGGATGGCCAATGTGGGATACAGATCTAGAAAGGTTTGAGTCCCCTCTGGGGACAGGAGTGTGTGAAATCAAGTCGGCAGAGTGGACACAGATTCCAGAGGGACAAGGGCAGATGGGAGGAGAGTACATCTGAACAAGGCCTCCTAGGTACAAGGACTGAGTCCCCAGGGCCTGTGGTGAGGGCCCTCCCAGGCCTGCTGGACTCCCCACGGGAGACACTGGTCACAGACAGGGTTAGGGTAGCCCAGGGATAATGTGATGTGTGTCAAGGACTTTGGAGGACACTGAGCTGGGAGAGGCAGCCCTCAGCATCAGGAGGAATGCTTCAGGGCCTCTGGTGCTAGAGACAGGCAGAGGTGGGGAAAGCAGATGCTCAGGACAGGGAGCTATAGAGCCATGGGGAAGGTGTGTAGAGAGAGGGTGCTGAGGATGGGGGCTGCTAGAATAGGACCAGGAGGGCTAGAGCACAGAGGAGCTGTGAGGAAGGGAGGAGGGACAGAGGGACAGGCTAAGAGCTTCTTTCTCCCCAGGAAGTTCTGGAGACTCTGTGGGAAGCAGTGGCAGTGCCCAGCTGCACCAGCAGAAGATACCCAGTGGCCAGAGTGAGGCCCTGCAGCCTGCAGCCTGACAGGCAGGCAGGGCAGGGCCCAGCACAGCCTGGGCAGCATCTGCTCCAGCCTTCCCACCAAAGCCCACAGGGAGGTGGTAAGAGCATGGTGGTAAGAGAAGCAAAGCACACAGGAAAGGCAGGTTAGGTGTGGGGGGAGCCCAGACAGAGGGCAGTGCGTCCCAGCAGCCTTCCTGGAGGAGGCAGCTCAACATTGTGGTCCAGCTGTAACAGGCAGCACATCCACAGAGCACAGCAGGGTCCACTTGGAGATTCTGAGATGAAACGGGGCTGATTTTAATGTTTGAGGGCACGATAAGACAGAGCAAGGACAGGAGATTCTGGAAGAATCCTAACGAAGAGAGTCTTGGCTGGCTTGCTGCATGTACATACTCGCTCATTCATGCCCTTGCATGAACTTCTCTAAGCCAAACACAGTTTGAGGGCCTCTACCTCTTCCTCTCCTCCCCTCTCTTGATCCCGGAGGCTCCTTGCAGACACTTGTGGGGAGAAGATGGAGCCAGGGCCTCCTCTTACCTTTTCCTGCTCACCTCTGAGCCTTTCCAAAATTCCAGTGAGCACAGCAGCCATAGCATGAGTCATGGACACATGGTGGCAGCAGGGAGCAATGCAGATAGGGTCCCCTCCCCAGGCAGCCCCCACTCTTGAGCAGAGAACTGGACTTCAAACAAATGCAGCAATGGTATTCACTAGATACGATGCTGAAAATGAACTGTACAACTTGTTGGTGAGATGGGAAGGGAAAACTGGAAGAGGGAAAGAGGGGTGGCAATGTTCAAAAGGAAAAGTAATTTTTTCTGAGTGATGAAACTGTAGCCCCTTTGTTTAAGCATTTTTAGATAAAAAGAATAAAAAATTACAGATAACCTTGAAAAATAAGAAAGAGAAAAGAAACAAATGAGGCAAGTGTGGAAGTTCTCTGAGAGCTCCTAGAAGAGAAGAACCCACAGGGGCATGTGGGTAGTTGGGGATGGGACAGCTACCCAGGGGGAGGGGTGGCCCAGGGACCCACAGCTGAGCCAGCTCCTCCTGCTGTGTGTGCCACAAGATCAGGGCTAGCCCACACCTGACAGACCACAGCACCAGCACCAGACAGGAGAAGTGCAGATCCCTCCTGCACAGCCTGGATGCCCAGAGTAGGTCACAGTAGGACACAGTCCATGGTAAAGGTACCGAAGATTCTTGCACTGATGGAGCCTCTCTGTCTGAATAGCCCAGGATAGTCCTGGCAGATTTCTAACTAGGTTATGCTGGTCTCTCCTACTAGTACTCTCTCTCTCTCTCTCTCGCTCTCTCTCTCTCTCTCTCTCTCTCTCTCTCTCTCTCTATTTCTTGCCAGTCCTAGGCTTGAACTCAGGGCTTGCACATTATACGGAGTCTTTTTTGCTCAAAACTAGCAGTCTACTACTTAAGCCACAGCACCACTTCTGGCTTTTTCTGTTTATGTGGTACTAAGGACTAGAACCCAGGGCTTCATGCATTTTAGGTAAGTACTCTACCACTAAGCCTCATTCCCAACCCCTCCTAGCACTTTTCTTTTCCAATGAATCTTACATGTCCTTTGGGACTGCAAGGTCACTTCCTCAAGGCAGCCATCTGGACAATTTCTCAGGACATAGACATGGCTGTAGTCCCCTCTGCCTATCTTCACTCCGATGGGTTGTTTCATCCCTATGGCCACTACAGAGGCCTCTGTTCTGGGAGACGTGACAGCAGGATGAAGAGGGAAGGATGAATAGGGCTATGGAGGCAGCAAAGGCCGGCCTTGGCACCAGTGGTGCAGGAGGAAAGCCATAGTGAGAAACATGCCTGCCACAAGGGGAACTCAAGAAGTGAGAAATCCCTTATTCTAAGAAGCTGGGATATCTATCATTCAGGCCTGCAACCACTAGGAAAATGGCATCTTGAGAGAGAAGGGCAGCTAGGCCAGGGCATGGGCAGCAGAATAATAGAATATTGTAGCATAAGTGGGGGTAGGGGCTGTCCAGGCATGAGGTCAAGAGTCAGCAGAGGTCAGTCATGCATCCCACAAGAGGATCATGGGAGACCCAGGATGGACAAGACCAGGAGGAAACACAGTCAGCTCTGAGTGGGATGGATCACACTGCCACCAGGGGACTGAAACTGAATAGGAAGGAAACCTTCATGCAGGACCAGAGCCCTGGGTAGCACCACAGCGGGGTCCTGTCAGACCATCTTGGGGGAGACTGGAAAGGGTTTCTGAGAATCCAGCTGCTGAATGTCTCAACAAATCTCACAGGATTTTGAGAAGCTGGAAGCAGGAAGAAGCTGGAAGAGCAATGGTCCCTTAAGAGCTGTCATCCCCATCCACAGCTTCCTTCATAGTTCACAGACTGCTCCAGCCCATCATCTGTCTCCTTTGACCCTCCATCCAGTCTCACTTAGCAGATTGGGAAACTGAGGCCTGTCAGGCCACTTAGGGTTAGCAGAGCTGCCAGGCTGGAAACGCGGAGCAGAGTCACCTCATCCCCAAGTGTCAGGCTGGAAGACCAGCTCCTTGTCTGGGAGGGGCACCTTGGGGATGCCTGCCAGCCCATAGTACAAGTCTTCCTCTTCCTCCTCAGGCTCATCGGGGCTTGTGTCTGCAGAATCCTTCCTCTTCTGCTTTGCCTTCAGAGATGGCTACAAGATTTAGGGTTGGGCTGCATCCTGTAAGTGCTTCTCTGGGGCTGTGTCATCCAATGTGGGGGTCATTGATTAGGGCATGGGAGGGGTCCAGCAGGACCATGGATCTTATGGCCACTGTGGCTAAGAATGCGGCTCCTCCCTGTCAGTTGGAGATGAGTTAGGGCTGCGGCCTTCACTGGAGTCCATGTCCTGCTCATCTTGGAAGAAAGCCAAGGGTGCAGGGGCCGAGGGACAGGCCAGTTGGCTGCAGGGGCAAAAACAGGTTAAGAGTTGCCCTGAGTCATGTTGCCTGCTCAGATGGCCCCATCACAGCCACCAGCTGCAAGACCTGAGGAGAGTTCACCTCTCTGAGCCTCAGTATCCTTCCCTGGAAGGTGAGGACAAATAAGAGTACCCACTGCTGAGCCTGTTTCTGAGAGTCATAGCTGATAACAATGTGCAAAGCACATTGCACAATGCCCAGCACGTGGTAGATGCTCAAAACAGAGCTGTTAGATCACTGTGCAGACTACACCTCCAGTCATCCATATCTCCAGCCATCCCTCTTCTCCTCTGGTCTCTCACAACACTTGTCACCCCAGGAGTCCCTCTGTTATCTCCTTTGCTTGCCCCACAAGACAAGATAGAGTTCTGGAAGCATGGAGCCCAGGCAGGCCTAGAAGGCAGCTTGTGCCAGGTTCTAACAGTGGAATGAGTAAACAAGTGGATGAGTCAGGAGCTCAGTCACAAGCAAGCAGACACAGGCGTGGAGAGGGACAGCCTGGCCTGTGGTCACTGGAAGGTTGACAGCAGTGGACTCACGTCCTCTGCTTCCTTGTCCTCAGCACTCATGACAAACATCCAGAGAAAGCAAGAACCTACTGTGTGCCAGGCATCAGAAGTGTATTACTCCAAGCTTCACAACGCAGTTGGGTATGTGGGAATGACTATTCCATTGGGGAAACTGAGGCTCCAGAGAGTAAGAGAATTGCCAAGTTGACAAAGCCAAAGAGCTGGTTTTGCAGTCAGGCTCATCGGACGCATAGTCTGCTTAAGTGTTTGCTGCTGCCTTCATGTCTCACATCCCCTGCTGTCTGCTCCTCACTCCCAAGTGTTCTCCATTCTTGGTGACCAAACAGCTCTCCCCTCCTTTGCACACTCGCCTGCCCAGAGCTCAGGTTCCTTCTTGTTCCTTCTGGTACAAACTCCTGTAGACAATCACGCCAGACTCCACCCAAGTCTGAGCGTCATTAAAACCACCCTCTCCTCCACCGCTGGTTCCTGGCTTCAGCTCAGGGGTCAGTAGCAGGTGGAGTCCTCACTTTAGCCCATGACCTTCATGTGGATGTGGCTCAAGTTGGGCAGGCTCTGGTCATAAGCGACTTCCTCCCACAGCCTAACATAGTGGGATGGGGGCAGAGGGCCAGGCAAAAGACAGGGAAAGAGAGAAGGGAAAGGGAGAAGGAGAGGGAGAGAGAGAAACCAGACAGGTGAGCAACACTTGCATATATTAATCATATTCTGAAAAAAAGAAAACTAATTGCAGTTGACCATGCCAAAGCTTAATAAGAGGCCTTTATATTATACAATCTAGAACTATCTCTAAACTTCCAGAATAAAGGATGTTTGATTGTTATTCATCATAAGAATAAAGTTAATGGGCCAAAACCCAAAACAAAACAATACTAAAACCTAAGCAACTCTACCGAAGGTGAAAATAGTCCCTCAACTATGAAGTTTTCAACCCAGTTCCCATCACAGTGTTTGGATATTGTCATCATCATCACTATTATCACCATCACCAGCATAATCACCACATGATCATCTCTATAACCTCCATCACAATTTTATCACCATCTCACTACTATCACCACCACCATCATCACCATCACCACCATCACTTTAATCAACATCACCTACGTAAGGACCAAGACCATCATCATCATCACCATCATAACCGCCATCGTCTCTCAGTAAAACTACCAACAGCAATACTGAAAACCAGTGCTACCACCACCACTATGATTGCCTTCATCACCACCAGCTGCTGTGGTCTGGGGCTCTGGCAGAGCAGGCAGGAACAAGGAGTGGGGGCCTCAGAGGCAGCTCTCCCTTCCAGTCCTTCCTCTTCTCCCTGCTCCAGCTCAGCTGCCAGACTCCACATCCCCACCCACTACCTCTGCCCTCATTCCATTCCTCATCCTTGGGCAGGAGAATGCTGGCTCTCACTGACTATGCTTTACCATAATGAGTCAACACAGGCGACCAGCTGGAGCTGGCCCAGACACCACAGCCATGCCACATGGAGGCGACTGGATGGCTCCTCAGTTCCTGCAGCCTTGGGTTCAAATCCTGACATCATGTTTCCCACCTACAGAGCATCAGTGTCACAGCAACTCTGTTGCTTCTGGACATCAGCCTGACTACTTTCTCACTCAGCACGGCTGCTCCCTTTCCTTCATCCATCAACTGAAGGGGAAGCTCCAGCTTCCTTCCGTGGCAGCTCAGCCCATTCCTCTCTATCTGTACTTGCTCCCCTGCCTGCCAGCCAGCAGCCACGCTGACCCATTGACCTCATTCTCTTATCACCGCCTTGCTCATGCCCTTCTTCTGCCTAGAAGAAATGTTATTTAACCTGTAAAACCCCAGCTCACTATGAAGTTTTCTTCACAGATAACTGTTTATCCCCCAGACCCTCAGCTACTCAAAAGCAGGGAGAGCCTAATTTGTGTTTGCCTTGACTACCACCACCCTCATATCCTAGCTAAAAACTTTCTTCCCATATATTTATACCTCAGTCAACCCAGAAAATTTGAACTCCTGCAGTGTTCTATAAGCCCGGGTTCTAAGAGCCCAGAAGAAGCCGAGGATGAGCCTGGAACACTTTGGTCCAGGTTGTCTTGGCCCCCATCTGTCTCCATGGTATAAAACATTGTTTCTCAGTTTTTCATTGGGCTGAACTATTTTTGTATCAATAATGGGGTTTGAACTTAGGGCCTGAGCGCTGCCCTTACCTTTACTCACTCAAGGCAGCTGCTCTACTACTTGAGCCAGTCTGTGCACTAGCTGTGGTAGTACCTCTCTGCTTGGTTCTCTTGATCACTCCAGTTCTATTTGAGACTGTTGTGACTAAACAAGACTATATAACGAAAGGTTTTGCCTAATCAATGGTCAGAGTACAAGGATTGTGTTTTATTGCCTTATAATAGACATCGAATTAATTGGTTAGATGAGGACATATAGAACACACGTAAGGGACTTGGTATAGCAAATCTTCCCCTTCATTTTAACTATATGAACCATAATTTCCTGTTCTTTGCCTCAGGCATCAGAATCTGCAATGATCATTAGCCAGTTAACACATGACCTTAATGATGTTGACCCTTAGAAGACAGTGCCTAGCACCTGACAACACGGGGTTCTTGGCACCTCAGGAAACAAAAATCTCATCCTCAAAGCCCTTAGCAGAGCCTTCAGAGCTGGGAAAGTGTGACTCTGGAGGGCCATGTGCTCTGAAGGAAAGCTTTCTTGGCCCCTAGAGGGTTGGAAGATGTTGGCAGACAAACTCCAGCAAGTGGACCCATGTCCCGCATATGTATTGACACTTGTGTGGAGACGAAGGAAACTGAGCTGCTGCCAAGCTGGTGTCTCATGAGCACACAAGAGAGGGATAAGCGGTGGCTTTGTCTTCATTGCCTCAAGAGAAACTCCTTTGGTTTTATATCTTATGGGAGAAAGATGAACTGCCTTTTGGTATGTAGGAAAAATTTTTAATATAACAGTAATATTGAGTAGGAATATCCCACTTAAAATGATGTAAAGATATGTGGTAAAACTCCCTTACACTGTAAAGTAGTGGCTGAAGAGTTGCGTTTACATAGACCATTGTGTTTAATATGTCTCCCTCTCCATATAGCATTGCCCATGGGTCTGGTTGGGAGCTCTGGGCATAGGCTTGGACCTTGAAGAAAAGCTATCAGGATCAAAACTGGAACGTTCACTAAGCTCTTGAAGGTACTTTCTGATACGATTAAGACTGAAAAGAGCAATAAAAACACTGTGTTCTGCAGAAGCACAGGCTGAACCATTGGCCGTCAATCCTAAGAAAGTTATGGTTGCTCACAAAACAGATTTTTTAAGTGAAATTAAAAGTACTTTCAGATAAAATTTTTATCCAGTTTGACTTCTTAAAATTTATCTTTTTAAGTGTGGGTTTGAGATGTTTGGGTGGGTTAAATGGGCATTTTGACAACATGGCTTCTCCTTTGGCATGTGTAATTGTGATGTTTAACCGACATCCTTGCAGTTTAAGATGACACTTTTAAAATAAAATTCTCCTAATGATGACTTTAGCCCTGGCACTACAGGAGAATCAGCAGACCCAGTAGGATCTTATTTGGAATTGACATTCTCTATTGTAATTTTGTTCATCTATTTTTAAATTTTGTTTTGTTTTCACTGGAAAGGAAAGATGATGCTGAGTTTTAAACATTAAACGTGTACAAGTTGCTTTGTTACAATAAAACTAAATGTGTACACAAAGGGTTTGATGCTTTTCTCTCAGATTGGACATAGTTGATCTGACCTTCCGAGTTTGACTTGTATAATAACGTCTCTATCAAACTGTCCCCTGACTTCAGATTTTTTGATATGCACTTTGCAGGATGACCTCAGGGCAGTATGGATCGAGAATAAAGGGATTTCATTAAAAAATTATCTTTTTAGGGCTTGGAGACATATTGAATAAACTGTAGTCTCAAAACATGTGACCTACAATCATATGCTTTAACTTGATCAGAACTGCTGTGGCCCTTTAGCATAGGCTGTATACGAAGTTAGGAATCTGGGTTGGGAGACACTGTTTTGTGAGTTTCATTATGTTTAATGCTGAGATTTACCTTGAAATTTTATTTCTCCTCAATGATTAGTACTATAAAACCAATGTGTAAGAGTGACTTCCTTAGAAATCTCTAAGAGTGACTGAAATTCATCCATTCAGTTATACTGCCCAGTGTAGCATCATAGCTCATCAGATTCAGAGACCTTGGGCAGTGGAGAAGGAGTAGAAAAAGACCTTTCCTGTATTGTGTACCTTTTGTATATTGAATTGCTCAGTTACGGTCCTCTTTCAGCTTTAGATACATGCTCTGCCATATTTCACACTCACCGTGTGCAGAGCTTGGGAACCTTGGGAAGTGCCAGATTGCTACTGACAGCCAGACTTGCCAAGTCAAAAAGGCCCCAAAGTGCCTTTCTGGTTGTTTT